CTGGTTTTAAAATCCACCCTAAAAGTTGCTGAGTTAAGTAAGTTCCAGGAGGAAAGGCGGGCCCTGTCTGCCATGCATAACCCCCGACTCTCCTCAGTGCTCCCTGGTTGAGGCCACATTAGGCCTGTTTTCCCTTCGTGGTCTCTGGGACAGCCCTGACCACATTTCTTTCAGTCGGGTGGCTTCTACTGCTTTCTGGAACCTTCTCCTGTAACACTCCCCTTTTGCCCAGCTGTGTGACCCTCCGTAGCTCTTCTCAACGCCAACCCTACACGTCAGGGAAATGTGAGACAGAGCATAGCAGGAAGGTTTTCTCTGTGGTGTCTTTCTTCCCAGAAGCTGAAACACAGAGAAGCCAGAGTTCCAAGTTGTTCAATGAGTGATTAAAATAGAAATGGAGGGCTGGAGAGATAGCTCAGCCATTAAAGGCTAGGCTCACAACCAAAAATATAAAATAGAAATGGGGCTAGGACATGGCTCAGTGATAGCGCCCTTACCTGTACACTGTCCTGCACACATCACAGAAGAAAGAACAGATATTGAATGTATGTAAGAGAGATCAATAAACCAAATAATAATAATAATAATTGAAGACAAGAGCATAAATTTATAAGAAAAAACAAAAGCAAATAAAGCTAAAATTGATTCTTTGAGAAGATATTTACAAATTTAAGAAACAAAAAATTAAAATATGATTGTCTCAGTAGATACATTAAAATAATATAATGTCATCCAGCACAATTCAACTGCCATCAATATTTGTAATTAAATTATTCAAGTTAACAAGAAACATTGTTTAAAATGCATAATAATAGCATGGATCTAAAGTCAATGTATTGAGAATCTGTATGGCAGACTTCAGAGAAGGGATTGAATCACAGCCAACAGAGAAGAGTGTAGCTAAAACCCACATATAACTGTGGAGAAGAACAGATTATTTTAATAAATGCTACTGGAAATTGCTGTGGGATGGTCTGTATGTCAAATGTTCTGATTGGTTGTGGGAGCCCGTTCTGGGGTTCCTCGTGGCTTTACCCAGCAGGTCCG